GGACTCTGAAAAACAATCTGAGGGTTTTGAAGGGGTGGGGTATGGGAGGTTGGGGGATCCAGGTGGTGAGTATTGGAGAGGGCACGTATTGCATGGAGCACTGGGTGTGGTGTAAAAATAATGAATACTGTTACGCTGAAAAAAGAAAAAAAAAAAAAAAAGAAAAGAAAAGTAGGTTAACTTGGATGCCTAATGATCCCATAACTTACCTTGAGTTCTTTTAGTTTTGCTTAATAAGTAATATTTATATGTTGTATATCCAAAAAGTGAGGCTGCTGGATTCATTTTCTGTAGTATATGTGTATCAGGCTTATCTTGACTTTTGTCCTGATAGCCAGTATTTGCAGCTGGATAGGGAAAATTTTGCTTCCCGAGTTAGGAAGTGTCTTTTATATTTATCAGAAACTTCTGATAAATGAACTCCTTTGTATTAATTACATGGCTATTTTTCTTGAAATAATTTTTATGTAGAAAAATCGCTTTGAGGGGCGCCTGGGTGGCTCAGTTGGTTAAGCCTCTGCCTCCGGCTCAGGTCATGGTCTCAGGGTCCTGGGATTGAGCCCCGCATCGGGCTCTCTGCTCCGCGGGGAGCCTGCTTACCCCTCCCCTCTCTTTGCCTGCCTCTCTGCCTACTTGTGACCTCTGTCTCTATCAAATAAATAAATAAAATCTTTAAAAAAATCACTTTTAAATTCTTGACCCAAGGATAATATTATTTGGATTATTTTTCTCTGTGATAGCAAAATAAAATAATTTGTTTTCACATATATAAGTTCTATCAAGTAGGATCAATAGATTAATATAACGTTTAGCTCTTGCTGTATTGAGAATTTCGGTGTGTGTGTGTGTGTGTGTGTGTGTGTGTGTGTGAATGATGGATTCTCTTTACATTTTGCAAATAGAAGAGAAAATGACAGGGATAAAAATAGGTGCCCTGTGGTGATTGGGAGCTCATGTTGTGTGTTGTGTTTTAAGTGCTGTACCCTCATCAGGCCATTTAATCTTCCCAACCTCCTGGGACACTGAATGGTCCCCAGGATACCCAGGAGGAAACAGAAGTGCAGGGGGTGGTGGGTGGCCTGGGGGGAGTGGATCCAGCCCGGGCTGGGAGGCCTGGAGGCATCTGCTGACCAGGATTTGCACTGCACCTGCCTAGATCCCTCCGTTCCCTCCCCAGGTTTCTCCTCTCCTTCCTAACAGCACCCTCACCCCTCTTGGTGAATCAGTTTAGAGGCTAAAATAGCAGATGAAGCTAAAAAGTTTCTGTGACTTATAACAATTTCCTCCAGAATTATCTTGTTGCAAGTAAATAGCCCATCTGGCTTCCTCTTTTCACAGAGCAGAATTCCTAAGTGAGCTTTCTGACTGAAGCTGGCTGAGTTCCACGCAGGGCGGCTGTTGGCCCTAGGGAGATTAGCACAATCTGTTTCTTCTATTTCTAATAAAGGAAAAGAGTTCCTTCATTTGCCTCTTTAATTCATTGCTTGAGTTTTATGTCCTTCTTCTCACAATGGTAGCTTTCCTGCTGTGGTCTCTTTTGCCTTTTTTTTTTTTTTAAATGTACAGGTAAAATGGAAACTACATAATAAAGGCATTTTGGTACAAGGACACTACAATGAAATAACATTAAAACTTGCATTTTAAGACCATTGCTTCAGGTTGTAGCTGTGTGACTCCCGTTGATTAGCAGGAGCTGGAGGGGATGATTGAGAAGCCGTGTTTCTGCTGCTCCATTTCTGTCCCTCCTCTGAGGAAGTGTGAGTGGTTAGCGTTCTGCTCTAGAATCCACAGGAGTCAAACAGCTAAGCTCAGCACAACCTCTGAGTTTACCTCTGAGTACCTTAATTTAGCTCCCTGTGTTCACTTCTGAGGAGCAGTGGGGACGATCCCTCTGGCCCTGATAATTACCTTCCAACAGGGCAGACTGAGGGTTACGGAGTAGGACTTACAAATGGAACCTGAGTTTTGCCTGGCTGAGGAAATAATTTGATTCTTTTTGTGTCTCAGAGCAGATAAGATCTTTTAAACTTTATAAGCTGTTAAACGTGTTATTTTAATTTTTGATTTTCTTTGAGAACCAGGTTTCAAGGCATCCTACAATGTTTGAGGATGGCTTTCCATGACTGACAGCTGTTCTCTAAATCTCATTATTTTGAGGAAAGAGTTGAAAAAAGCCAGTGTTTTGCCACATCCAGGCCTGATACTGCTCACTAAATGTCGGTTCATAGATAAGGATATCTAGATTTTATGCTGGGAACGGGTCTCCTTAAAGAAGTAGCGCTACTAGGTTCCACTTAATTGAAGGCACTTTTGATGAAAACAGTGGGGTTTCAGGCCCGGAATATTTGGACTGGGCCCACAGTCTTAAATTTACAGCTACAAAATTATAGGTGCTAAGTGATATTGCCTTATAGCTGTTTCTAAAATCATGTTCTCCTGAGGGAGCAAAGAGATTTTTCAGGGACAACACCTGAAGGGCTGGTCAGGGCAGGAAACTGTGTGAAGAGGTAACTGACCTTAAATCCCCATTTTTCTATACACTAGAGGCACCCCACGTCCCACTGTAAGCACCCTGTTAAGGCTTGCCAGCCATTTCACGGGCTTATGCTGTGTATGGAGGGTGTCCATCATAGACATTAAAAGAGTTAGAAGGACCAATTTCTAGAACTTCTTAGAAAAGTCTCATTTTAACATTTTGATTTTTGTGCTAATGATAGCAAATTAAAAGCAAAAAAAGGAACATTACCTACAAAGTAATATGTGAAGTACATTTTTACCTTTGAAACTCTGCAGTTCTTGGTATGTTTTTATTTTTCAATATAAATCTCTATGCACTTGGTAAATGTGATAAAATTATTTGAGGTAGCTTAAAGCTGATAATGCAAGTACTGTTTTTCTTGTGCATTTTTTAAAATATAAATATAGTGTGAACTCCTTTTGTTTTACAATTCAAACGTGACCACCTTTGAGTACCTGCTGATGCTAGATCCTACCAGGCCCATTCATATGCAGTAACTAATTTAATATTCCTCAAGAAATAATTCTCATAATCCCTACATGCAGATGAGGAAGCCCAACCTTTTCTCTTTAGTACACATTTATATTTATCATGAATATTTATAAATCAACATTGGCAATTTCTTAGCCGATTATGCTTTAAGAAGTCATGTTTAACCCACACATTTGGACCTCCGAATGCATTTCTCTTAAAACATTTTAAGGTGTCAGTTTAGCAAAATAGTCCAGTGAGCTTTGATGTACAGTTTCAATTTGACTAATGGGTCTAGAATGGTCTGAGGCATTCATATATCTTAATTATGTTATTGGAAACCTAAGATAGAAGACTGAAGCTGGGAATTTGGCTAGTAAAGATCTAGTTTCCTTCCTGATGTATAGTGTAGGAGTCTGGGGGGAGAAGTGGCAGAGTTTGTACATGGGGAGGAGTGCTGGTACAGAGGCCTTGGTTCCCTAAAAGAATGTTAAGGTGTTTGTTTCTCCAGAGTGAGTAAGGGGTAGGCAGGGCTAGGTTAGGGAGAGATAGGTAGGGGGCTCTGTGGTGAGGCTCACAGAAATCCTCAAGATGCAGAGGTGTGAGGAAACCAGAGATGAGGGAATAAACCAGGTCACCCTGCCTTAGGTGTTGGGGTGTGTGTGTCTCTCTTTTTTTTTTTTTTATGACGGTCACTTATGACCAAAGAAATAAGCCGTTAAAGATGTAATCACCAGTCCTTACTCAAACCAGGATGTCCCAAGAATGTTAAGGCCACAAGCTCCCTGGTCTGTTCTAAATAAAAGATTGTCATTGGAGGCCCACATTGGCAACTTGTTGGGATCCGCGTCACTCCTGAGAGCTTTTCCTGTATCCTTGCTCCATAAAACTATCGCTTTTCTTACTCTCCTTTGTGAAGTTCATCCTTCCACTCCATGAGACAAGAGCCCAGCTCTCCTGCTTCGAGAGCGCCTCCCAGGCGGATATTCTGAATATGACCTCCTGTGGCCTATGTGTGTGTGTGGGGGGGAGAGGGGGGGCACTGGGCTCCGTGTGCCCAGGCAGAGCCAACTAGTAATTTGGGCTGACGTCGTCTTCACACTCTGCTCTCGCTGTTTCAGACTGTTGAAGCTCTTCAGACTGGCCCTCTTACTCTAATTAAGGAGGTCACTAGGTCAAAGACGTTAATTTGTACCCCAAACTTACCTATCCCCAGGCCTCTTCTATAAGGCATTTAATAACAGAGCAATCCCCCCTTCATCCCAGCGCCATCTGTGGCTTCCAGACTGGAGGGCCCTGTCCCTGTGAGCCACTGCATCCCCGCCTGTGGGAGAACGCTGACATCCAGTTGCCTCTCCAGTGTCATGAATCTGTGAGGGAGTAGCTGAGCATCCTCTCAGAGCACCACGCTTTACTGACGGCTGAAATATCCGCGGTCCCGTAAGGATAATCTAAGTGGCGAATATTTTCCCACGGCACTGTGTGTGGATTCTGCGTTGTGGCCTCCTTAGTTCAAGGTCAGGCTCCACCCACTACCCCTTCTGTGACTCGGGCAGGAGCCTCGCCTCCATAGTCTTGGCCTCTTCTGCAAAGTGGGGAGATGTTCTCTACCTCTTTGGAGGTCTTGAAGACTAGACTGTTCTTTGCCCAGCGCCTGACACATACTTAAGCTACACAGTTGGCATATGTGAAGGATATGGAAAAATAAAGAGTAAATCAGAGCTGGTTTGTATTATGTTCGTCTGCATATCTGTTGCTGGGACGGTGTTCCTGTTTCTCTCTTCCAGGTGTTTAGGAATATGTTTGTTTTTCCCCACAGTGTTTAAGACACAGAATTGAATGCTGTAGTTAGTAGTTAACATGAATTAGAGAAAAGGGATGACTAGACAACGTTAAAAGTTCAACATGGTAAAGATAACATTCTTACGAATTTTTTACATATATTTTTTTTAATTTAAAAAAATGGAAAAAAACCCCATGGAGATTTATTTATTTATATTTATTGTAGTTGTCCTTCACTAGGATCCTCAAATAGAAAGGTCAGAAACAATCTCTGTACTACTTTTCCTTTCAGTAGTTTTTCAATTAGCAATAATCGCGCCTTGGATAAACCTCATTGGCTACGATACTGCCACTGCACAAAGCTTCCTTTCAGTAGTTTTTAATGTTTACCTTTTTTATTTTAGGCCCTTGGCAGTCTAATACTAAAATCTGTTTTGCTGAAGCTGTATGGAAAGCTTGAAGAGTTCCAAGTAGACAGATAAGATGTAATTTTCCTGGTAGTCCAATACCTAGAATATTATTGAAACTTACAGTAAAATCTTAAGTAAATCTTTCAATAGCCAGTGAAAGTTGGGTCATTTAGTTTTTACATAAATGATTTTTAAAATTGGCTTTTAGTATGTCTTTATGGTTAAATCAATCCCCTTAGATATCAATCAACAAGGTACAGGCAATGAAGCCTTTCTCTGACACTGATTCATTAGGAAAGCTCATTTAAGGAGTTAAACATCTCTCACTTGTCAACACTGAGATAATTATGCACTATTAATTCTCAGTCATTTCAAAAAGTGCTATTTTAAAACTATTCATTTCATCAATCCTGAGAACCAGGATAAGGTAGACAGCCTGCTGTAAACCAATTTAAGATGTGATTACACTGCTTTATTCCTGCAATGCACCAATCAGAAAGTTGATTTAATGTGAATACCGCTTTTGAAATGTTTCTTACTTCATTTTAAGAGATGAATATGATTAAGGCAACCTTGAGAGGACAAAGGAGTTGATGTAGAAGAAAAGAGCTTTAATTTATTCTGCCGTTTCCAGAATCAAGGTGGTAGGTGGGGAGGGCTAAGGGAAAAAAAAAATCAGGAAATGGTACTTTTCTTTGTCGTTTTATCTAAATGAAGCCTCCTTTGTGTATATGTTCTCTCTGCATATTATCAGCTGAGAATTAGGGTTGTTTATGCTTCTTTACAATGACCATCTATGGAGGAAATAGAATATGAATTTTTTCTAAATAGATAGATTTTGTTGCTTAACTACTTGAAGTTACTCACAAAGCAGTGACTTTAAATAACCAGAGAATCAATCTATCATGGCAGGTATTTGGAAACATTGATCTCAACATCCTGCCAAGTGTGTAGTGCTTGAAGTTCATTAATACGCAGCCATAACTGTTACTGTATAAAATTTCAGTTCTGTAAGCTGTTTACTAATTTCTTGACCTTGCAGAGCAATCATCAAGGTTATTTTCAGTTATTTTAAAGACACATCAATTTGTGGAAGATACCTAGTTTTACAAAGACATTATAATATGGTTTGATTTTTAAGCACTTCATTTCATAGAATATACATAGAAATTAATTACAAACGAAACAGTTTCCCACATGTAGTCATGTGCTTCTGTGGGTTTTATTTTGTGGTGTGTTTTTCTGTCTGGAGATAAGGAAGAACAGGGTTCTAAAGCTGTAATTTTGCTAACCCCAAATACCAGTGATAACATTTGAACTGATTCTGATGTTTGAAGTGATGTTGAGTCTGGTTGTGCACTGAACTAAGAAACAAAAAACAAGAAACAAAGCAAAACAAAACCCCTCCAAACTTGTTTGTTTATCCCTTGTTTGTTTATCCTTCACCTTCCAGGCTGTCTTTATACATTATGTTAAGCCCTAGGTAAATGATGGAGGTGTGCTAGACTTTTGCATATGCTGAATGTTTTTCGTCACGTTTAGTTTAAATAAGGTACTCTTGGGACACGTGGGTGGCTCAGTCTGTTAATCATCTGCCTTTGGCTCAGGTCGTGATCCCAGGGTCCTGGGATGGAGTCCCACATCGGGTGCCTTGTTCAGTGAGGAACCTGCTTCTCTCTCTCCCTGCTGTTCTCCCTGTTCATGCCTTCTCTTTCTCCCTCTCTCTCTGACAAATAAATTAATTAAAATAAATAAATAAATAAGTAAATAAATTACTCTTGTAGTAGGTTTAATTCTAGTGCTGCTGTAATGAGTTGATTTTTAAAAATACATCTCTGATTTTAAAAATTACTTATAAATTACGTAAACCCTTATTTGTGATTCTGTCAAGATTCTGATAAAAGTCCCTTTCCATTTTTAATTCTTGCCTTTTTGTGCAAGTGTTAAATATTGTAGTATAAGTTCTTTTATAAAAGTCTCTTTTTACGGTATCTTTTCAAAACATTGCTTTTTAGGCCAAACAAATAGCTTTTTTTTTTTTAATTTCAGTTATAATTAGATTTGATTTTGATACGCTCACCAATAAAAATGATGTAAGTTGAACTTCACTGGGTATATCTGAATTGGTATTAGTCCTTGGATTTTAGTGGTCGGCTTCACTGATTCCTTTATTCAGCAAGCTTGTCCAGATCTCCACGGAGGGCCAGACTCCAGGCCTTACAAATGAAAGCAGTTTTACTACAGATTCTGCTGTTTGGAATCTTGTTTCGTTGGAGAGACAAGTCATAAGTATGTAAAACGGTTACTAGCAGCACAGGCCATGAGGCATCTGGCACAGGAAAAGCGGTATAGATCGGAGTGATTGTTTACTCATCAAAAGATGACTTGGACCTTGAAGAATGTATATAGCATTTGTAAAATTGAGAGGAATAGGAAGAATAAGGGTAAAGGATGTGTGACTGATAGAGTAAATGATGCTGAAGGATGGTTAGGGAATGGGTCAGTTTGAAGTAGAAATTCATACAGAATCAAAGTGGGTTTCGGAAAGACAGGCTAGGAAGAAGGAAGAAAGGGAAAGATATTAACTAATACATACTCTTTACTGGGTGTTTAACTTGAATTATGCCACTTCGTTCTCAAAATATAATCCTGTAGTTTGATGTTATGATCCTAAATTTGCCATCAATGAAGCTAAATGGTACAGTCGTGCTGAGGGCCTCCAAATGAAGAAGTGGGTGGAGTTCAGATATGAATAGTCAAGTACAAAAATTGTGGACACAATCACGATTGTCTGCTATTTTTGCAAATCAAACATACTCAAAACATAACTTGTCATCTCTTTTTCTTCTTCCCAAATCAGTTTCTCCCAACTTATTTTTATTAGTGACTTTATCATTCTTCTAGTTACTTAGACTTAAAACATTGGAGTAATTTTTATTCTTAAAATTAGCTTTTAGTTCATATAGGATGCTTGAACGTAAAACATAGGAAGAAATAGACAAGGAATAGATGATACATTAGAATACATGTCTTATTTATGTTACTGCAGTAAGCTTACCTGATTGGTGATCTCTAGTGTTCTGTATTTACTAATCATGTTCCCCAGCTTACTAGATGTTATTTAGTGAGATGTTACTTAATGTTATTTAGTGAGTTACTAGATGTTATTAGTAGATGTTATTTAATGAGATGTTATTTAGTTTCATCAATTATCTAGAAAGAGTTGATTCAGTTATGTAATTTGAACATTTTGTCATAATATGGCAGATTTTTTGGCACATATTTTTTCTATTTCTGCATTTGATTGTATATTGATTTCAGTTGATTTTTCCTTCATTTTCCCCCCACTCTCCAATAACATTCTAAAAAGGCAAGGATTTTTTAGTATCTTCTCCATTCTTTGCTTGTTACTTGGTACTTATGTATCAGCAGGGAGTCTGCTTCTCCAGCTGACCTCTCTCTTCTCGTGCTCTCTTACTCATTTTCTCTCTCTCAAATAAATAAATAAAATCTTAAAAAAATATATGCATAATGATTTGAAACATATTGACATATAAGACCCCTGTAGCCTTGTTTCTATTCCGGTGATTATGTGTATACCTAGTACCTAATCCTTTCCATTCATGGAGTGATTTAATAATATTTGTAAAATGATTAACAAAATTCTTTTAATGGACAATGAAGAGCTCATGGTTTTTGAATGCCATCACTGGGTGTGGTTTATAAGTACCACTCTCTCTCTGATCAAGAATCCACCTATACATTGTATAGATTCTAGCCGTTCCTTGGGGCTTAGATAGGAGTAAAATTTAAGGTATTCTGCTTCAAGTATGAGGGACTAAAGCCCTCCTGGAATTCCCTCCCCCCTAAAAGAAAAGAGCTGGACATAATACAGAAACAACTGTCTGGAGGTATTGAAGAATGAAGAGAGGCAGAAGGACTGGTGGCTAGTGCACACTGCCTTGGAGAAGGAGGAAATAGGAGGCTCTAGAAGTCCGTTCCAATCTCAGAAGCTTGTGGCCTGGGGCCAAGTACAAGACCTGGATGCTTAGCGCACATGGGAAGAAACTTTCAGTCTTTCTTGCCAGGGGAGCCAGAAAATGAGGCTCTTTGGCTTTGTGAGCCAAGGTCTTTAGGGGTTGCCTGGGGTCCTCATGCTTAAGTGATGGTTCTGGAACTCCAGCCATCACTTAGAATTACAGGCAGGAAGAGAGGAACAAAGGACTTAACAGCAAAAAGTAGCAAACCAGCTCATCTCTCCCCTTTTAAAAGGCTTTCCCCACAGTCCATCAGTGACTTCCACTTACATCTCAGTAATAAGGACGATGTTGCCTGGCCAACCTTGGATGGAAAATATAGTTTTAAAAATCTAGGTGCATTGTCACCCCACACCCCGTGATGATATTAGGGTTCTGTTAGCAAGAAGAAAGGGAAAAGAGATAGGGACTAGGCAACCAGCAGGATTTAACATAGTTACTGGTGCTTTATATGTGCTGATCCTCTTCTAGAACCTACCATCACATCTGCTAAAATATTCAGGCAGGGAGGAGGAAAACCTTCCTTAAAATGCCAGCACAGGCTTTTTCTTAACGTGTAAATCTAAACAGATTCCCCAGAGTTTCCTGTGATGGCCATTCCTAAGCACAGATGAGACAGCTTGGGAAAGTATGTGCTGTCATCTCTGCATCTTCATGACTCATGCTTCATGACTTCCCATCCTCAACTGTGTGTTTCTTCCTGTTCTGGGTGTGCGAGCATCATTTATCCAACAGAACATAGAAGAGGAAACGAAAAGGGACTGGGGATTTTTATTTTTAACAAGCACCCCTCCCTCAAGAAATGGTATCGTCACATTATTGACAATCTACTAAAAAGGGGTCGATATGCAAAAATTGATTCATAAGAATTGATTCCTTAGTAGCTTTTGAAGTTTCTCAATAGGTTTGCATTGAAC